GTTCTTCAGGTTGTGGCTTAGAATATGCATGAACATCACAAGTTGTTCATCAAATGAAACCCCCATTGTATCAGTGTGATATTTCCTCTCTCTAAAAGAATATTCCTCAAGATAAATAAGCTCTTTTACTCATTATAATTTGGTTTTGATAGTCCACCTCAGAGGAGTTAATTATCGTTTTATGGTACAAAGTACCAATTGAATTACACTTTGGTGCACATGATTTATTCACATGGGTCGCTAGAATAATACCTAATATAGCTAGAGTACTACCAGCTGCGACAAGTGATCCGGCTATTTTCATCTTTACTTCATGCTTGGGGTTTTGATTGTTACTCACCATGGGAAAAGATTGATCACTCTATAAGACCTAAAGAAAATCCCAATAGCAATCACAAAACAGATACATATATACAAACTAGTCATTTTTCAACGAAGTGGTTATGAATGAGGGCCACAAAGAGACAATCCGGTTATTATAAATGCTTGAATGCATTGGAGTGATTTGAATGAGGGCCACAAAGAGACAATCCAGTTGTTATAAATGCTTGAATGCATTGGAGTGATTTTGAGGTACTGCAGTTGCCTTTGTTAATCAAAGGTTTTTTCTATTCAGCATATAGGTTTGATTGATTCCTCCTATCATTGTTTTGTGTAGTTATTAGTCAAATGGGTAAAAAGAGTTAGAGGTTTCACAAGTAGGTCCATAGTCTAACTCATTGTTTCAAAAAACGGACCGCCCAGCACCTGGGCGGCCCGCCTAGGCAGATTTCTCTGGGTGCTCGCCTGAACCCGCTTAGATGGCCGCCTAGGGCTTGCGCCCCATCCAGGGGGCAATTGCGGCTCTTTGAGGGTATTTTTGGGTTTTTTTTTTTTTAATATTAAAGAGGCAAAATTGTGGGTTTTAGGTTCACTTGAAACCTAAAACCCATTAGTGGCTATTTTAGAGAGAGAGAAAACCAAAACAAAAAAAAAATATTTCTATTGGGCCGCCCAGGTTCTGGGCGCCCGCCCAGTTGTTGGGCGGCTTGGACCCCCCTCGACCGTCTAGGAGCCACCTAGCGCTTTTTGAAACATTGGTCTAACTACTCATGCCCATAACAAAGTTGAGAATATGTAGGAGCAAACATAAAAAGTTACATGGTCATAAGAAATTGTAGCAGCTGAGGGACTTTTCCAATTCAGAAATTAGAAACAACTTTTTGATGTTGAAGAATTAGAAACTTGTTGGTAAGAGTTTTAAATTTACCCATTGTATTTTCAAAACAATTAGACGTTTGTCTTTTAAATAAATCCGAAACAACTGTCTTAGAAGCGTTGTTTGCCTAGAATTAGAACAATCAGAAGTTCGTCTTTTAAATAAATATGAAACCACTGTCTTAGAAATTTACCCATTGGATTTCCAGAACAATCAGAAGTTAAAATTGGGTATTGATATTCCCTAGAACCTATTTAACATCAAAACCCCATTAGATGTGGGTACTATCTACAACGAAACAAACTTTAACAACAAAACCTTGTCTAGGTTTTAGAGAGAGACCAATGAAGCTTTAACCACAATGTCTAGAGACCAAAATAATCTCAAATTTGTAGAGAGAGATTAAAACCCATAAGAAGATTTAACATTATCCAAACAATCACAAAAAAAAGGCTTGAGTAAAGCCAGTATAAGGAATTCTAGAGAGAAACAAGTAGAAGAAGACCAAAGCTACCTGGTATCTTTATGTCCAAAGCTACAGAGCAGGGTTCTTTGATGGCGAGAGCGAAAAGTAGAGGTTCCTTGATGGAGAGAGCAAAAACTGTGTTTTGGGAAAATTAAGGGAAAGAGGCAATTTATGCTTTTGGGGGAAGGAGAGAGAGAGAGAGGAGGGGGTAGGGCTTCCTGCTTGGTTTATGAGAGAAGGGGGAAGGAGAGAGAGAGAGGTGCAAGAGACAGAGGGTAGGGCTTCCATCTTGGTTTATGAGAGAAGGCAATTTTTAGTGGGAGGTATAGAGGAATTTTTAGAGAGAGAGACGTGCACAAAAGATTTCCCAAAGATTACCCGTCAAGGCGCGTAACAGAAATTTCACCCCTCACCGCGCGTAATGGGTTTCGTGAGTTTTTGGGAAATCTCGTGTAATGTATTTTTTATTTTCTTACTATTAAAATATACCCAAATAGTGGAAATATCATATTTCCTTGTAATCTATTTTCATGTAATAGATTTCCAGGTACCTAAACGATCCCTTAGATTCTAGAGCACCCTTCTCACTTTCTTTGCGTCAACGCTGCCTTTAGTCTCATTGATCAAAACTATGTCAATCCATTAACAACATACATCATGGTAGTTCATCGTGTAGGTACTTGGTTAACTCCTCCATAATCAAGACAAAACATTATGGGCTCAACACTGATTCCTGATGTAGGTCCATTATCATTGAGAACTCATGTGTCTCTCCACTAGTTGTCCGTACACTAATTAGCGCTCCGTCGTACATATTTCTCACTATGTCAATATAGCCCTTGATGACTCCTTTATTTTCTAAGAAACAGTCATTCTAGCAAGTACCGCATGGCAGTTGCGATCTCTCACTTACCCAAAGCCTTCTAAATGAAATGTCCCAAGAAACATCATCTGTTAAACCACATTCAATCATTGTCTTCAAAGAGAAAAGAAAGCAAATGGTCTTTTGAAATAGAGATTTGTTGGAAACCATTGGGCAATCCAGGTCACAAAATATCCATTAATAATTGCCATTAAAAACTGAGATTGATATTATTGTCGGAATTTCAACAAGACTCATATTATGATCAAAATTTCTGCAAATGTGCTGATGTAATGATCAAAATTTCCAATAAAATTCTGAACAATTGACCTAATTATTATGATTGGAAGCTCCTTTATAGTTAAACTGTATAAATTTTTCAAATTTCCACTAAAAATTTCTAGTAAGAGAGCGAGAGTGAGCGCTTAGACTTGGGGGTATTTGGATCAGGGTTCAGGAACTTGGCTGAGTCTACTTGGACTTGGCGGAGTTAATGGGAAGGGCTAAAGTACTCGGACTAGTATGCACAGGACCTGCCTGAGTGCTCTCAATAGAGTAAAAGACGGCACCACCCCCTTATTTCATCTCTCTCTCTCTCTCTTCTAAAATAGGGTCTGCCTCTTTCTTCATCTCTCACTCTCTATATATCTAAACTGGGGTCTGTCATGGTGTAACAGGTACTCTCTCTCTCTCTCTTGTGCAGGAGGTATTTCCACCCGCCTTTTTCATTTGTCTCTCTCTCCCAAAGGGGTGGATTTCTCATCAAGTTGTTCCCATGAATCGAAACGGCCAGTTATTAATGGAATCCCTTGTCGGCTCTCTATGAAATACTCATTCGGTCGAGGGCTTCAAAACCATCGCTTTATTCATCTCTCTCCCTCTCCCTCTCCCTCTCCCTCTTCTGCTTTCTCTCCCTGAAAGGAGGGAATAAATCTGTCTCCTTTCATCTCTCTCTAAATGGTGCAGAATATCTGCGCCTTTGTTCATCTCTCTCTCTAAAAGGGGGTGGTGATCCACAGTTTTTCCATTCCTCTCTCTTCCAAGAGAGAGAGAGAGAGAGATGCCTTGGACTGGGCTCAGGAAAGGGCCGAGTTCGATGCCCTAACTGAATCCCTGAATTTTGGTTTGGATTGAGATGATTTATAATCTTTGAAAGGACTCAATTGTTTTTACAAGCTTTTTTGGGGCAAAAAAAAAAAAGGGGTAGGTGTCTATGGAGTGGGGTGGATGAAAATTTTCTAAATTAAGCTATGCTGCCTGAAAGAAAAAAACTGAAATCAAACTTCTAAAATTGAAAAATATTGATAACTTTGACAAGAGGCGATTTTTGGTTATTTGGAAGTCGTTATTTATCCCAAACATTAAGGATTGGAGGTCGGGCATGTATAAAATGTGATTTAACATTTACCTAGTTACTTTGAAACTTGGATTTTTCCTATTCAAAATTTTGTGTAATTTTATGCAATATGTATGTATCTATGTAGGTATTGTACATAAATGTACGAATATCCTGCAGACCTATATATAGGCATCTCAAACCTGGGCAACTGCATCGCACCTATGCAGCTTAAGTGCTGCCTAGTGCTTTTCAAACCTTGTGGTTTTGTATATAATTCATAGTACTTATGGATTTTCTAATGTGTGCTTAAGACGAACTTGATTGTTCTAATGAAGAACTATGAATTATGTATTACCTGCCTAGAAAATTAAAAGTAATAGTAGATGTTGGAGGATACCACTGAAGGTATTTGTGATATTCATGAATAATAGCCCATGGTCCTTTTTCCTTTTCCTGATCAGTAATGAGATTTCATTTGTGAATAAGATGTACATGAATGTGTGATTCACAAAACTTGAGTGAATTACTCAGAAAAAGCAATGAGCATAGTGCATAACATGTTCTGTTCTTGATAATTGAACAATCAATGGCCCTATACATGTAACGTTAGACCCTTTCCCCATCTGGGCACCTTTGTGGGTCTCACTTTTCATGTATGAAGCCATTTATTATTGTCTTGCATGTCATGAAATTGAAGCGCAAAATGTTTTTTGTCGGGAGTTCTCCATGTTGCTTCTGATGAAGGGGTCATTTGATGCTTCCTACAAAAGTTATGTCAAGTTCTGTTGTTTAGGTGTGTTTAGGAGTTGTATAATCACTGACTATGCCTGTTATATAGTTTGATTTCATAACTACCTTTAACACATAGGATGTATATGGAAAATTTTTATGGTCACTAGAAATAGTAGTACAAAGGGATTATGGAGAAATTTTCCTATTCCCCTCATTTTGTGTAACCGTATGAATCCTGTCACATGCGCATCACAAGGCATTGAAAAACTGTCTACTAATTGGTCATTGGTTCACATATTGAATAACTTTTGCATTGAATTGGCTTTACCGAATGTACTTTTATCTATGTCCTTTTCAGACAGTAAACTCTCTATATGACTATTAAGTGCGATGCTTGTTTCAGTTGTTTGAGAATGCTGTTGAGCTCTACGCGGAACTAGCAGAAACTGCAGTGGCTAGCTTTCTCATTTCAAGAGACTCACCCATTGTAGAACCAGTCAGGATTAATGATGGTTCTGAAGAGAATAAGGAGGCACTGCGAAAATCTCGTGGGGAAGAGGATGATGATTTCCAGATAATGGAATATCAGGCACTAAAAGGGAATGCAGCTGCTATGTATAAACTTGGCCTCTTCTATTATTTTGGCTTGAGAGGGGTAAGGCGTGATCATGCAAAGGCCTTATCATGGTTTTTGAAAGCAGTTGAGAAGGGCGAGCCAAATTCTATGGAACTTCTTGGAGAAATATATACTAGAGGAGCTGGAGTTCCGAGGAACTATACCAAGGCTTTGGAGTGGCTTACACTTGCATCCAAGCAGAAACATTTTTCTGCCTATAATGGCATTGGGTACTTGTATGTCAAAGGCCATGGAGTGGAAAAGAAGAATTTCACAAAGGTCAGATTTTATTTTCTATAACATGAAGTTCTCTGCCGCAATTTACCAATTTCTTGTTGCACTTGATAGTTATGACTATCATGGCTTATGTGTATACTTTTTCTGATAGAACATCTGGAGCCTCGTTAATAATCTGAAGTTCTTTTTATGAGTTTATCAACTACGCTACTCTAGCTGCAGCGGATTTTATATTCCTTTTTCTGCCTTTATTTTTTTTTCTCATGCAATATTTATGAAGTCACTCCTTTTTTTTTCCCTTTCATTTAATGTTGCTTATTTTCATTTATTGCAACTGAGAATGGTGTATATGTTTCTTGTTTTACACCAACTTCCTAATGGAGTTATAAACCCTGCTCTTTGGGGTTCTATGAAGTACTCTCCGAAAGTACACCAGAAACTCAATATCCACTTGATAGTCTCCTCCTTGTAATTGAATCTTCTTTAGCAACACTCTAAAACTGACCACTAAATTGGGTTATTGGTCTTGTTTATTGCATCGAAATCTTGACATTGCACCTTTCTTTCCTCTTGCGTATCGGAACTGCCCAAACCTTGGGATATGAGATCGCTCCTCCACTATTGCTTTTTCAAAACATTCTGTGATGCATGTATCAAGGTCTAGAAGGTCATCCAGGGACAACCTAAGCTGTCGCCTCCCCAACCTAAATCAAATACTGCATTGCACATCTTGTCCAAACTTACACATCGCTCTCCAGAGAGTTTCTCCTTAATACCCTCTCCACAATGCTATGCAATACTTGATCCCATTGATATCCTTCATCAGGAGATTGGTGGTTCTGCTTTTCTTTTTGGCATTCCATGCGTATATAGTCTTTGGTAGTCCCCATGCCTCTTGTTCTCCTGGTTCTCTTTTGGGATGTGGCACTCCTTTGAGGAGTATGGAGTGAACAAAACTAGATGAGGCTTAAGGATAAATTGAAGGGAAAGAGTATTTGTGGGAGTATATTGAGATGAACATTCCTTCCTAGGCACTTATCATTGTGGAATTTGAAGTACTTCTAATAGGATCTAGAGATGGAACGGAATTTTAGAGTGGGTAGTGAGCTTCTCTTGGATGGGGAAGTGTTGGTGGGTGCTCCTAAGGGCTTTCTTTGATGCTAGTTCTTTAGCAGTCTGGGCTTGATGTGTCAAGCTTTGGATTTGTTCCATATTCATGGATTATTAGGTTGGGAGGCGTCTTGGAGGCAGACACTAAGGCTCTTCTTTGTATTGAATAATGTTGCCCTTTCATTGCTTTTGCTTGTTGACGAGAATTTCTTAAATATCATCTGAAGGGCTTGCAATAACTGTTCCTCATTCATTGGCATGCCCTGGAGGTGGTGACATTAGAGATATCTAGTTCTTCAAAAATCTTGTATCAGGATGTACATGGAGAAGTTGTGGGAAACTCATGCTAGAGGGAGGTTGACAATGTAAGATTCTTCTTATTCTTCATATTCAGAAAAAAAAACGATTCTTCTTGTTATAGAATTTTTACCTTTGTAATACACCACTTATGACGTGCTTTAAAACTGTTCTTCCTCTTGTTTACTTTTTTAACATTTTTTGTTTGTTTGATATCCGGCACCTACGGTGGCTTGTATTCTTGGGTAATTATATGGTGGCTTGTTGATAGCCTGTAGTTGCATCTTCAATATTTCACTTTTATAACTTGATTACCTCCTTGGAAGTTTTTGGAGATCACTTCCTCCTTGACTCTCTGAGACCACCTATCAGGTGAAGTTCCTAAACTTCTGTGCGGGTCCTAGAACTATCTTTTTCCTCCACCATGTGATCCATCTAGAGTGCATATATCTTAGGATTGAATTCCCCAATCTAACAGCTGTTCCTCCACATGAAACCTGCATCCATCATGGTTGCTGGAGAAAAGTGCACAAGATGCAAGTGGCAGGAAAATATTTCAATCGAACCTCCTCATTCATCTCTTCATACTTTGCTGGAATTTCCTGAAACATGCATTTGCTTGCTTAAAATTTTGAATAGAAGAACATTGAGAAATTAAATTTCAATAGAAAGTGCTGGCTCTAAGGGGTGAAAGCTCTTACGCTTGCCTTGTAGGTTCCACTGCGACTTCTATTCTACTTCATTGATCCAAGCATATCTCAACACAACTCAATTCTGAATCTTCAAGCCAAAAATATTTCTATTTTATGCTGTACAATTTTCTAGAGATAAAATGAATTGTTTATGCCTCTCTTTGTGTCTCAAGGACATGAACATCGAATTCATTTAGGATACTACCTATGCTTTTGCTTGAGGCATCCATTATTTTGACTGCTTTGAAAAATACATAGAGCTCAAGTTGTAATTTTCCTTGATATGAAAATTTTATAATATATTTGAGAAGTACCATATAGATCCTTATAAAAATTATACTTAATATATTGGCCCAAATAAATATGTTACAGAAAGAACATCCTTCAATAAAAAATGCTAGTGTGGGATGTTGGACTCACATGACGTGTCCTCAAGTCAAGTTCCCTGAGCTTGTTTGCAAACTCGGCTACATATGCTGAGCAAAATTGATGCCAAAACAGCCATGGTCATCCCTCCAATGCTGGAGGCTTATGCACGGTGAATTAAAGATTAACCAAACTAAGCAAAGTGAATTGCTACACAGGTTATGCTCGAACCTAATGTTACCCCATTACACCCGGTTTCATGCAAGGGGTGCTCTTTAAGTACATTTCCAGGTGGCATGCTGTGCAGAGATTAAGAACTTCTTAGGGGTGCTTTGTCCTCTTTTGCCTTTCCTCATCATGCAGAAAGCATAGCTATTTGTCTGGTTTCTACTCCAGGAAGGATGGCCAATTGGTCTTAGAAGTCATTCTTGTGGCACCTCAACAGGGATGATCAATTACCCATACCATGAGTTTTAAGAGGATCCTCCATCCTCTTGTAAGGTTTCACAGATTTATTTCTGAAGCATTTGGCTTATTATGCGAACAACCATCTTGTTTTGGGCTCTATATGTCCATAATTAGACCTCTTTGGATGATGTCTCTCCCTTTGCATCCTCATAACCTAGGAAAGCCATCTCATTGTACCCCAAATAGATGTGGTGTATGCCCCTCATTTTATTAACTTCAATTTGACTACATCTCTGGAGAGCTATAAGGCCTTTCATTGCTAGACAAACTCCAGCACTGACACCATATTCCCATTTCTTACATCTAGTGTCAAAAATGTGGATTCGGACGCACCCCTGGCCGCCTAGTCTGCTGAGCAGGTGCCTGGTTCCATAAGCGGCTCATCTAGTAAAGTTAGGGTTCTGGGCCCCAGTGAGGGCTTCCAACCAAACCCCTCAAATTGATCTTGGAAATCTTTTTTTTTTTTTTTCCCCAGAAATACAAATGAAGACGTTATCTAAGTGCCTGATACATCATACTTCAAGCAAATATGATATATCAATTTTAAATTTGAAATTGAATTACTTAAGAGTGTAAAAGTAAAAAACGTATAAAAGATCAAAAGATGCCCATTTCCCAAAATCAACATTCTACATTATTCGTTCCTCATTGCTAAGTGCCGAGACTGCCAATAAACAAAAAAATGCTGATTATAAGTTACAAGTCTTGCATAACCAATAAAACTCATCAGTCCAACTCCATAGTCTAACAGTACATCAAATATGATAAATGCAAATTGACAATTGAGTTTCATCATCACTGCCAACAACCTCTCGATCTCCAACACTACTACAGATGCATCTGATGATGATCGTGCCATGCCATCATCAACAGAGTCATCTCCCTTCTCCACATATTCTTCCTCTTCTGTGGTCTCCTGTGAATCTGCCTTCTCCTCCCTCACTCTCCTATATCAAGATTGAGATCTTGTGGTTCTCATGGGGCTTAAATTGACTTCCAATTGCCTTGCGAACTTGGCTGCAAGTCAACTACTCTCCATTGAATACAGTATCATCTCCAGTATCGACCAACCGAATGCATGTATCATCCGTCTCATTGACAATGATGGGGGTTGATGGTATCCCTATCCAGATAATTTTCCTTAAGCTTTTGATTATACTGAATGAAAATGAGGTCATATAGTCTTTCTTACTCAAGCCTGTTGTATCTATTGGATCAAAATTAATTAGTGATTTGGAAACCAAAAAAATAAAAGAACATTTATACAACTAGGAGTTCAGCAGGCCTCAAATTAAATATGCTAAGAGATTGCTATCTCAATGGAAATAAATTGTGCTTGCACCCAGATGATCTGCATGTCAAGCTTAAATTGCGCATAGTGGTCTTCTATAAGTGACTAGCACTTTGCTCGTGATTAACCCACCATGAACCTACATTACAATATTGTATAAAAATAAATAGAGTAGAACTTATATAATTAAAATTAGACATCAAATTAGGCATTAGAAGTTCAACCCAGACTGCTAGAACTAAGTACTCCAATCACCAATTCACCATGAAAAGACAAAATTTAAACTTACCTGGAAAGAGTGCCTTCCTTTGCCTTATTGCCAATTAAGTGCGAAAGTGTCCCAATTGATAATCTATACTTGTCTAACTCCCTTGACAATTGGTCTTGTTCTTCTACACTATGGATGAGTCTCATTAAACACTAATTATCTTCAAAATGGGAGAATTGTGCTTGTCGTTGTATTCAAAATTCTTCCTCATTTCCTCCTTGGCAACCTCCATTGTCTGTTAAATATGACCCATAACCAGCTCCTTCTCGTGGTTAACAAGGCACAAAACCTTAACTAAAGATTCAAATGCCTTGAGGGTGTGAATAACCCCATTCCAAAACTTTTGTGGCAAAACTAGATCAGCTACCATCGTCCCCCTTCTTGTATCGGACTACTTGATTTGAACCCATTCTTTAGATACAAACATCCTTGAGCTTGAGTTTTTGTAGGGCTGAGAATTTTTTGGATGGGGTCTGGATCCGAATTCGAAAAGTATACATGGGATCTAGATTCGGATCCAATCGGATCCAGAATGTCCTTATCCGGATCC